TAATTTAAAATAATTTAAAATAATTTATAGCTAAGAAAGTTGTTAATAATTATAGCTAATTTTAGTGTTTAATAGTAAAATTATTTATATTTTAATAAATTTGTTTGCAACTGTTTTGTAATATCTACATACATATATTGATTGTTTTAGAAATATTATTATAATACAATAATAATCGAATGGTGTATTCCAATTTTAAGAAATAATAATTTCCAATATTAATTTATTTAAATAATAATTATAATAGGCATCATTATGACTTTTTGTAAATGAGCTAAATAATCACTACTATTATAACTATTGGAATAATGACCATTAACATATAATCATTATGTGTATTTAATGATAAGTTTAATACAAATTGTTTAATATGAGATGCTTGTATTTTCAAAACTTGTAAACTCAATAATATAATAATAGATCATGATTATTATAAAATGTATAGCCCAAATATAGCCCTCATTCGAGCTGTAAATTATGGTTAAATAAATAATAATATTGATGAAATTGTATGGTTGTTGTTTCTCGGAATATGCTTCATTCGCGTATACCGTTTCTATTAATCATTTCAATTTCATTTCACTGGTAACTATTGCACGTAAGCTTTTTAAGATAACATTATACTCAAAATGGCACTGTTAGGCTACATGAATTTTCACACGTACAAGAAGTGTATTAAAGACCTCCGCCAAAAACTCTTTTAATAATAATTGTTAATATTTTTCACAGGTATTGAAAATAGCTGTAAGATTACGAACAAATTTACCTATGCTCTTATCAGCTACGGGGTAACTTTGAGAAGTTCAATGTCAAGGGCATTTACGCTGGTTGGCCGGCAGTTTCACAGCAATCAGCTTTTGGTTGAGTGCCCATATATAATTTTATTTACATACATATGTATTGACAATCTTACAAACATATATACCTATAAATCTCAATATATACAAATATATATGTTCATACATATGTATGCGTATTTTTATATTTTCTAGTTGTCTTCTATGTTCTTTTTATATGTACATACCTACGCATAATTATGCATTTATTTCATTTGTGTGTTTGATAGTTGCCAAGTCAGCTCAGCGACTAGAGAGATCTTTACTTCCTTCATTCTCAGCTGGCTGAAAAATCAATAGACCTTTTGAACCCACTCAATTTCATAAGTTGAATGAAAATGCTGTAATTTTTGGTTTTTGTTTTTATTTTTATTTATTTGTAACGAGATTAGGTTATATAATTGATGTAACTGTATTTGCGCGGTTCATCAAACAGGAGAGAGAAGAGCTGTTGGAAATACAATACAAAACATATGCAAATACATACATATGTATACACATACATACATATTCACATACAAATGTCACAATAAACTTATAAGCGTGTGTGTGTGTTTGTGTATGTATATGTATTTGTATTTATTGGGTGGCTGTGTGTTCATGTGGGCGAATATCGGAGCCTTCTCATCTATATAGTTATGTAAATGCTACACCTCCTGTTTGTGCGTATTGAGAAGTTAACATTGTATTAGCTGGATCTGCTATTTATTGATTTAATCCTTGCTCTGCATGTACTTGATCAAGTCAATGACACGGTTGGAGTAACCGAACTCGTTGTCGTACCAGGAAATCAGCTTGACGAACTTGTCGTTGAGCGAGATGCCAGCCTTGGCGTCGAACACAGACGAGTGAGTGTCGCTGAGGAAGTCAGTGGAGACGACCTCCTCATCGGTGTAGCCCAGAATGCCCTTCAATGGACCGTTGGCGGCCTCCTGTACCTTAGCCTTGATTTCATCGTAGGTGGCGCCCTTGCCCAGGCGGACAGTCAAATCGACAACGGACACATTTGGTGTGGGCACACGGAAAGCCATGCCAGTCAGTTTGCCATTCAGAGCTGGAATGACTTTGCCGACGGCCTTGGCGGCGCCAGTGGATGCTGGAATGATGTTTTGGGCAGCACCACGGCCATCGCGCCACAACTTGCCGGAGGGGCCATCGACGGTCTTCTGGGTGGCTGTGGTGGCATGCACCGTGGTCATCAGACCCTCCACAATCTCGAAGTTATCGTTGATAACCTTAGCCAATGGAGCCAAGCAGTTGGTGGTGCAAGAGGCGTTCGACACGACCTTCATGTCGGGGCTGTAAGCATCCAAGTTCACGCCGCACACGAACATGGGCGCATCGGCAGATGGAGCCGAGATGACAACCTTCTTGGCACCGCCCTTCAAGTGAGTGGAGGCCTTTTCGGTGGTGGTGAAGACACCAGTGGACTCAACCACGTACTCAGCGCCAGCGCTGGCCCAGTTGATGTTAGCGGGGTCGCGTTCACTGAACACGGTGATCTTCTGGCCATTGACGACCAGGAAGCCGCCCTCGGCGGAGACGGTGCCCTTGAAACGGCCGTGAGTGGAATCGAACTTGAACAAGTAGACCATGTAGTTCACATCGATGAAGGGATCGTTAACCTGCAAATTACACAAATCCAAGAAAATTTCACACATTTTTCTTTTCGCAATTACATTTTAGCGGCTTTTGCTATACTTACAGCAACGACGCTGGCGCCTTTGTCGATGGCGGCACGCAGCACCAGGCGACCAATGCGGCCAAATCCATTAATACCAATCTTCGACATGATTAAATTTTCTTTTTTTTGTACTTTGCCTGGATCACACTTTTACTTTCGCTCAGTTCACCCGTCAGGAATCAACTGCAACTGCTCTGGCTAATAGTCTTCAGATAGAGCGTTCGCGTTTGGCGAGTTCAAAGTCAAATGAAGGACGTTTACGTCACGCCCACCCCACAACGCAAGTTTGAGCAAAACGAGAGCACTAGAAAGCTGACTGCTATGCGACGCACGCGCATTTGTATGCCACCAACTTCACGCGACTGTAAAGTATTAGAATAGCAACTCTTCAAGCTTAAGCGCGCGCGCACACACACACATGGAAAACAGAGCGCGCAATCAACTGATATTTATTTTTAAAATATTTAAGCTTCCCAATTAAGAAACCTTGCGGTATT